TGGAATTAATAATAAAAGTTAAAGCTTCGCTTTAAAAGTGGAATTAATTATACACGCCTTACATTCGATATATATTATTATATATCGATATAACTATTCGCAAAGTGCATATTAATTAAAAGTTCAATTAAATAAAGTTTTTAAAGTTTCTCTCACACCATACTTTTTTTTTCAACTCATTGTTTTATCCTTTTGACTCATAAGCTTTTCACACTCAATCCTTAAAAGCCCCTCTTGTTCTTCAATATTAATGGATTCACTTGCAATTAGAGTTTTAAATTTTTAATAACGGAGGTTTAATTAGAATGCTTGTCTTTGCTTCTAAATTCATTCGTTAGTATACTGTATATTCATTTACAAAAAAATAATATACTATATAACTTACTGGTTTTTTTAACGGGTTTAGTAGTGATTAATCTCAATAAGTTTCTGTTACATTCATTTTTTTTTTGAAAGCAGCGAATTTAAAAGTCATAACATCTGGAAATTTTATTTCAAAATTTTTTCAATAAAATGAATTGTAAAACTTGAATTATATTGTACAAATAATATAAAATCGTCAGATATAAAAAAAAATCTACACTTTCCGAACTCAATTAATATAAAGTCTGTCAAAATACAGCTTACTTCTTTACAGTAAACTTTTGATATAATGAAAAGTTTTGAATTGCGGAATTATTAAATTTCAATCGTATCTAGTAAAATATGTTTAGTTTTTTCCTAACCTGAGGTCTTCATTATAGTGAGTGAGTTGTAATAAAAAAAAAAAAATTGTATACAGGTAACTTTCTATAATGAACAGTTCTTATAGTAAAAATTTTTAAAAATTCATTGTAAAAGTAATTTACTATGTTCCTATACCGACTCATAAAGAAAGTCGCATAGATGTGTCAAAATAAAATGAGATCCGAAAGTCGAATTATCCGTAACAGTGCCCCAATTGATGGTTAGCGATTTGATATTTACGATACATACATAGTTTGTACTGTATTGATCTTTACATTCTATTTATATAAATGCATCTTCGTACTGTATCGTATCATTATCATTTCAAAGTTTTATAAAATACAGTACTAAATTATATACTATAGTTATCATATAATTTGTAATTATAATATACGTAATAAATACTTAGGCAAAAGATGCCACCCTTAAAAAATTAAATAATAATAATAATAATAAAAAATACAGTACGTACGTACTAAATTATCTTCCGTACATATATATGTATATTCAGTATTTCTAAACTTAAGTACTGTACAGTACATTCAAAATCAAAATACGTTTCATTTCGGAAAATTCGCATTGATTGTCGGCAAATTTTGTAGTAATTTGTATGTGCAGAATTATGCAGCATTATCAGTTATATCAATGTTGTCATGGAACAGTTGTAAACATGAGTTCGGACTAGGGCTGTAAACCAAACTATTTGGGACGACCCAAACTATGTGACAATTAGTTTCACATAGTTTTGACAATAAGTAAAAAGTTGTAAATACCTAGTGCGATACTAATTGTCACATGGTTTGGGCCGTCCCAAATAGTTTGGTTTACAGCCCTAGTTCGGACACTTTTGGGTGTTTCTACACAAAATTTTCTTATGTAATCTATTTTAACTTTCTAAATAAAAATATTATGCGGTTTTATGCGGCTTTATGCGATTTGCATAAAATCACCATCCCTACGAGTTTCGCCCTGTCATATTATAATTAGTATATAGTACCTTTTACTTATTACTAACTAAAGATTAAAATCAAAGTACGTACTGAAAAGTGATTACCAAATCTCTATGCAATCTCTATATCGTTACTATGCAAAACTTCCATTAACCTATGTTTGTTATTTGCAAGATAGCTTTTTAAATTTCCATCATTTGTATGTTGCATTACAAAAATATCTTGCCCGTTTTATGTATTTTTAGAAAATAATAAGTACGTACGTACATACCTAGTTCAAGTAAATGACGTATGCACAATTGTTATGAACAAATATATATTCATTTATTAAGTTAGGACATATGATAAACATTATACGTAGTATTAATTTGTATTAAAATTTGCAATGTGGCATAATGCGAAGGTTGCATCAGGTTATGAATTATTATATAGGAAGTCACATATTGGCATAAAATTACAAACAGCTTAGGTAACACTAATAAATACTACGAGATCCAGAATCTTTATATTGTCTGTAATTAGTTATCTAGTAGATTGTATAGCGATTGTTAACAATTAAAATAAAACCTACGATTCTCTCTTTATAAACTATTAAATACCAAGAATTAATTTATCTCATGGGTACTATGATTTTTTGACAAGGTTATTTCATCGGTCTATATGAAAATCACATGATTCATATAGACCGATGTGAATAACCTTGTCATAAAGCATCGTGTGTTATGTGTGTTATGTGTGTTATGTAGGTTTGGGACCTTGAAATTGTTGTGTTCTAGAAAGAACTTTATTTAAGTTTCGACCTTTTAAATTGTCGTGTGCTGGGAAGAACTTTATTTAGGCTTCGGCCATTTAAATTGTCGTGTACTAGGAAGGACTTTATTTATATTTGGGTCCTTTAGGTTGTGTGTGCATGGAAGGATTTTATTTAGATTTTAAGTTTTTTAAATTGTTGTGTGTTGAGAAGGGTTTTTAAAATTGTTAGCATTGTTAGTGCTAAAAAACTATTTCTTTTTTAATTTCTTTTTGATTATAAAAATAATTTTTTTTGTTTAAGAAATAAATAATGGTTAAAGGGTATAAAAATAGCAAAATTAATAGTAAAAATCGTAAAAAGTTAATATTCTATTAGAGTGGAATGCAGCTAGATTACAATAAACTTTTCTTGAATTTCTAACAAATATTATAAAGCAAGCTATTTTTGTTCTAATGGTAATAGAATTATTAAAATTGGTTTAGTAGATCGCGAGTTATTGGAAGACTATATGCATGACTATATGATTTTTACATATTACCAGAAACTTTCATTATATGAAAGTAATATTAATTCTTCGCCGATTTTACTATCCTTCTACCACTTAATTATTTATAGTTTATTTAAATAAAAAAAAAGTTGTATTATTTAATAATCATAATTGCTTTATTATTTGAATGACTCAATGAATTATTTAATATCGTAATAATAATTGTTATTTTATTTTCTTTGTTTAATTGTTAATTAACAGTTAATAACGAGAGATTCTTAATGACGTGTTGCACGGGTTGTTACGGGATAATTTATTGAAGTCGATAATTTAAAAAACATTTAATTTCAATGTACTGTCGGCTGGCACTTTTCTTAGCTTCTAACAAATATAGTAATATTCCGTTGTTTTTTTACTATGGTTATACTCCAATCGCAATTTACCCCTTAATTATTTCTTATAATATATATAACATTTATTAACGTTAATCAAAATTAAATTATTAAGTTTATTCAAATTATTTTTGTCATTGCATGAAGAACTTATTTAGAAACATGTAATTAACAATGGTCAAGCCGTTATTAAATATTTCTATATTTTTAAACCTTGAACAAGAATACTATATTCCAATAACTTAATTTCAATTTAAACCTGTTTAAAATTTATTAAGCATGCAATTTGTGTAATACATACGTACAGAAAAATAAACTTAACGATTAGGAATTAGATTAGAATTTGGGATTAGAGTTTATGTATTCAAAGATAAGGATTATTATATATTCAAAGATAAGGATTATTATATATTCAAAGATAAGGATTATTATATATTCAAAGATAAGGATTATTATATATTCAAAGATAAGGATTATTATAAGATTGATACAATGTGAGATCAATCATCGTGCTTTACCGAATAGAAACATCCAAAAGCTTTGAAAATATATATGTTGTAAGTGGGAATGGAATTTCTTAGGACTTTCTTAGGACTTTAGGGTTAGAGATAAAATAAATTCTACTCTAAAATTATAGTTCTATTAAGAATTTTCATTTTTGGATTTTTGTTCATGAAAGTTCCAGATTTCAACTTTTTTTAAGGGTGAGTTTTTGTTGTACGTATTACGTTCGAAGGTTACATGAAATTATGTAACTCTTATCGGTCTTATTGGTTAGTAATTTACAGCGCTAGTAACTGTTATATAAATTGAACTTTAGAACTATATTTAGGATTTATGTAACGAGAAAAAGACCTTTACATTAACTATTAAGATCAATCTAACGAGAAAAAGACTTTTACATCAATTATATAAATCTCATTTATTCTCTTGTACATTCATCATATTCATATTAATCATATTCATATTCATCATATTCATGCGCATACAGTCACCTACAGTTTTAACTTTTGTGTGAGGTTACGGATCGTACGTACTGATCTCATACATACTTCGAATGGCAACTTATTACCAAAATATGTATTGTCATTATTTATAGTTAAATTTATAGTTAAATTTGAGATGGATTTTTTAATTAGTTAATTAGTACGTAGACTTTCGCAGCAGATTATTTGTTGACATTCCAAATTGTTTAACTAGCAATTCATTTTAATATAGATAAAAAAATGCACTCCATCCGAAATATATATACCCACATTATTATAATAATAGACTATTTACCGTTTTGCATGTATTGCCGAATAAATTTTATGTTCTTATGCAACCCTACATAACTATAATATTCTTTATTTAAACTCAATTATCTAGGATAAATTTTCGTTAGGTGATTGGCGGATCAAGTCTTCAATTTTTTTCTTTAATTTATATATAAAGTGCTATCCTCCATTGTAAATAGTTTATTTGCCAACGGTAAGTAAAGATTTTTGTTTATTTCATATGATATAAACCTGAAATATCACATGTATTATTAACGTTTGTCTTAATATCTATCTGGTTTCAGTTTCTCAAAAAAAGATCTCGATTTTGGATTTTAAACTGATAACTACGAATTCTAGCTCAAACAAAACATTTCTATCTTCATATTATATATCATGGACTGTCGAATAATACTATTCGCATTTTTTTTTTATATGTTGATGCTACTTAATACAGTTTGTCTCGGATTTGGTGAGCTTAAAAAAATGCTTAAAAAAATGCTTAAACAAAAAAAATTACAATATTCAATTTCCGTTAATAATTGTCAATTATACAGAAATTGCAAAACTTGTAATTTTTAGTCAAGTTGATGATAAAGATATGATTAGGACGGATTCAACTGCTGACAACATGTAATTATTTATATATCATTTCCTTTAATGCAATCTCGCATTCTCAATTCTTTTTTTTCTATTTTAATAATTAAGTTATTTAGCATTGACGGCTATAACTCTTCTTAAAGATAGTAAGTATTCATTTTTCATCTTTCTTAAAAAGAGTTATCATTAAAAATATATACACATATTATATATATATATAGTTACTTTTACGTTCGCAATTTGTCGAGGATCGTATGACCTTTATAACCCACGAGAAAGAGCAAGAATATGTTTCCTCTTTATGCTCGCGTGGATAGCAATTCCAGGTATTGATTTATATGTTTAATTATATTGATTATATTATATATTCTAATAATTACACGCATACATATACAATTATTGTACAAACCAAAAAAAAATTTTTTTTTTTTTTTTAAATACAGCAACCTACACCGTATTTCTTTTCCAAGATTTAGGTTCAATCCCATTAATTTGCCCTCAAGAAGCCTATCACTATAAATCAAAAATACTTAATCAAGCTTGCAAGATTAGAATGCAAAGTTTTTTAATAATGTGGTCATATACTGCTTTATATTGCCTTACGGTCCTTATTGAAATAGTACGATATTTACTTCATCGTAATTCTAATTCTAAGGGTGATTTAGAGAATGGGAAAAAAGAACAAAGAAGGTCATACCATCCACTATTCTCTATGTCTGATACGTCAACAAATTCTGAAAATAGCGTTTCAAGGGATATAAATCTGACATCTAATAATAGTCATCTTAGTAGTTGTAGTACAACGTCAAAAAGTCCATTATCGCGACCAAAACCTACACATAATTCTTTATTTTCACCACCTTCTCATGAACCGAAAATAACAAATTAATTTATTTTTGGAAATCATACGATATAAAATTCGCATTATGTATCATAATATATATATATAATATATATATATATAAATATAAATATATGTCTATGTATGTATACTGTATTTATATATATATATATAAATCAAATTTTAAAATACACTGTATATGGAAATTTTTCGTTATAGATTACAAAGAAAAATAAATAATAGTATAGTTAAATACAAAGTAAAATAAATGAAAGTATATATATATAGTGAAATATATACAAAGAAAAACTTGGTGTTTTTCTTTTTAAAATTCATTTTTTTGAATTAAATTACCTTTGATTTTATTTTTAGCAAACCTTACATTTCTAAAGTATTTGGTTTTATTTAGAAAATAATTCTTAAATTCGTTATCACTTCTGCATTTCGATTTCGAACGATTAATGCTTTTGAAATACTAATTTGGTTAGACACATACGCATTTATAATGTCATAAGCCGTAATGAGGGCCTACGTATCATCAAATGTGATGGAGATTGCCATACTCAGTGTATACATTGTTTTGCCCTATAATTTTTTTTATGTACATCCAAAGAATTACGTAGTAACGGCCCAAAATCATGCAATATTCGTCTGGGTACACTATTTTCTGTAGTTCTGGTTCCAATCTTTATTTGGTTTTAGCGTAACAGCTCAAACTCTTAAAACTAGGTAGAACCGGTTCGTATACAGACCGAGGTTCCGTAATAATTATCTTAACGGTAATATTATACTGTAATTAGATAATATATACTGTAATTAGATAATATATACTGTAGTTAGATACGTATTCAATCCTACATTTGTGGCATGCACGCCCCAAGTTGACTATAGCGATAATAAATAACTTTAATTGACCCTAATTTGTTTTTAAATTTGATTGTGAACATTGATCAAGAGATAAGATCACTGATTTAAGGAGGTTATTTTCTGTACGTACGTACGTGCATACATAACATCACAATAAAGTAACGGCAAAAATGCCCGTAACTCATTATAGTTATGACAAGTTACACAAGTTACGGCAGTAGTTACGACAAGCTACGGAAGTTTCGTCCGCACCACTAATACGTACATATATACAGATTTGTGTAAATAATTTGACTAACACTATACATCAATATATATAATTTCTTATTAGAAATTTGCAGTAATTTCGGCAACTGCAGAATTCATGAAAAGCCCCAGGTTTTAACCGCTTGGAGAGATACAATTGGCTTATCGGTCTATTGATTAATCTTTCTAATCGGATGATGCCGGATATCATATTTTCTTGGGACATTTGTAGCAGTAGTAAAAATTCATGATTCGAATAACTCTAATTCAAATTACGTAATTTTTTCTATTTTGACCTGGGTTAAGCGTCAAATTACGTGATTAAATTTTATGAATTTTATGGGTAACTTTTTAACCCAGTTGAAAATAAAATTTAAAATTCGCGAGTCAAAATGAATTGATTACATAACTGCCATATATATTAATAAATTTTGAAATTATACTTTGCTTTTTTGTAAATCTTAATATGAATTATATCTGTCTTTATAAAATCCTTTATAATTTTTGACTCAATTTCTATAATTAAAATAATTCAATTAAAATTCGGCCAAAATTAATTCGATCAAATGTTTCGAGTACTTATGATTATGAATTTAATTCGTGTCTACTCACAAGTTAATACGAGTCTTAATCACTAGAATAATATGTTAATCGATAATGCGGATTGAGTATGTAATAATAATTAACGTCTTGATAACCTCACGCGAGATAAACCTCACGCGAGATAAACTTAGCATATATTTTATATATCGCGTGACTTGCACGAGATACTTATATGGATCTCTCATGTGACAAAAATTGAACCTATATACGTAGTAGTATATTACAATTTTTTAGTGATAAATTTACTAAACTATATTAATTCAGTAATTGCCGTAATTTTTTACTATTTATAAAGATTACCTTGTAATCATCTCGCACAAAGGTACATCTCTAGTCTTGTCTTATTAATACGTCAAAAAGTTAATATTGAAATCATGCGTAATAATCAACAATATTTTAAACCACGAATGAATCTTTAGCCATCGAAATAAAATAAAATGGTATACGCACAATAGTCTCACAATGCATGATGACACTGTCCAATGACTAATGTTACTAACCAAAATTCAAAAAAATTAACTTTGACGATTAAAATGATTTTCAATAGGGTTTATCCAATTGTTAGCAAATTTAATCCTATTGGTATCCTATTTACTGGCGCAAAAGGAGGTCAATAGGTAGTTTTTTTATTGATTATAAATTATTTAATCAATAATAACCAATTGGATAGGATTTTTAATCGTAAACTATATATATCGATATATCGCTACAAAAAACTGTTATGATCAATATATAGTTAATTTACCATCGATTATAACAGTTTAACGTTAAATATATATATAGTTTGCAATTGGTAAAATTATACTTGATTGGTTACTATATATTGATTAAATAGTTTATAATTAGTATAATAATTCCCATTGACGTTAATAATTATTTGAGATAATAATTTGACTTGTGAAGTCTTGATCCAATTTCTACTTGTTGAATCCTGATTGATTCCTTATTGTCCTCTTTTTGCGTCAAAATTCGTCAACAATATGGTGTCAAAATAAGGCTAAATTTTGCAACAATCAGGTAACCCTATTAATTCCTGATTGAATATCATTTTACTTGTGCAAATTTTTATTAAGCAGTTACTAGAGCTTTAACCCGGGCGGGTCAGGTATTTGACCAAGCTATAACCCGGGTCAAACGGAAATTCATAAAGTTTTTAAGGTAATCCTTAAAAGTTGATGTAACTAGTATAGAGAACAGCCACTGAGCAGCCTTTACTCCAAATATTTAAATGGAATTTTTCGGATTTTGTATTAAAAAATTTCTTGACCTTGCTCGTGATTGAGTTCGTTCATTTTCTGCTTCGGGAAATACCAGATTACAGCTGTTTTTATAAATTTTGGAACACCATGGTAAAATGACGGAAGTTTCTCAATATATCCGTATCTTTGAAAGTGTGACTTATAGAAGGCATACTAACACCCAAGTGTTTCGTAATTTTTTTGAATTGATAAGCTTTCTAAATTTTTTTTTCGTATTTGCCAGCGAAGGTGCTTTGAAGTATCATCATATTACTGTATTCAACCAGAGATATATATACATAATACGCGTGTAATATTTACATTAGTCATCGGATCTTAAATTATATACAGTATATCAATTTGAATTTATTATACCGGAATTACAACCTTAATCGAATTAGATGTCCCAGAATTTATGAAAACAGATATAACAAGTCAATTTCGACCTACACTGGCGATCATAAATAATGCAGCAAAAAAAAAAAAAATCGTTAGATCATATTATCTCGCGCAATTCGGGACGGATTCCCTTTTTTTTTT